AGTTTGAGAGCTCAAAGTGTTTTCTAAAATATTTAAAAATTGGAACCACTTATATAGCATTTTTATTACTTTAGAAAAAGTTGAAGAGAATTCTGGAGAACATTTTTTTAAGACTAAAAAAACATTCTCCTGAACTCTCTTCAATGATGGAAATCTTGTTTGAAGCACAAATTGTAGAAATGTTTAATTGAGAATCAATTTTTGCATTGAAAGCCAGAGTGATTTTGATGTTAAACAATAGGTTAATCTGTTTAACTGGCATGACAGGAAGAATAAGCCATTAGGTTCAAGAGTCAAGTTAGAGGAAAAGTTCTTTCCAAATAACTCTGTCCTATTCAAGTGAGAAGTAAAAAGATCAGACCCATGAATTAGAGATTAAATGTTAGACTTACTTTAGTTAATGACACTGTTGAAGACTTTCTAAAATTCTTTAGAACATCTGAGATAAGATACAAGATTTAGTAAATTAAGAATAGCAGAGCTCAACATCAGACATGACTTTTTTACAATGGCTTCTTGCAATAATAAAAGGACATTTGTTCTCAAGAGAGATGTTTTTGTAAAAAAGATGAAGAAAATGATTACGGTTTAATAAAGCAACTGCTCAAAATGTTGAATATTGTGGAGTAGAATGATGCTCGACTTGAAGTTAAAGAGATGGAATAAAAGCTTCTAAGATGTGCACTTGTGCATCCTTAGATATTTATATAAACATTTGTACTTAGATGCCGAAAGAGATGATCAGATGGATGTGTGGTGTGACTCTAACAAAATAAGAAGATACAATGTTTTGTAGAAAGAATAAAGTGATTTAAGTATCAGCATGTAGAGAGGTAGCAGCTTTAGGAAAAATGGTAAAGGTAGAAGTAAGAAAACTCTAAGAGTGCTTACATATTGTATGAATGAGCTTTAGTTAAGGAAAGAAAATGTTCTAGATTGATTATGTTATAGAAAGAGCATAAAAGAGGAAGGCTAAAGCCTAATGATGATGATGATGATGATGATGATGATGATGATGATGATGATGATGATGATGATGATGATAATGATAGTAATAATGATGATCATGATAATGATGATGATTATGATGATTATGATGATCATTACGATGTTTATATATGCATATATATACAAAATATAACATTATTTTAAGAGTATAAGTGTTTATGCAGCCCCTGTCACAAACCTTTATATTTCTATATAGGATTTTTATTAGCTTAGAAAAAGTTGAAGAGAGTTCTAGAGAATACTTTTTTAAGACTATGATGGAAATCTTGTCTGAACCACAAACTGTAGAAATGTTTAATTGAGAATTAATTTTTGCATTGAAAGCCAGAGTGCGTTTGATATTAAACAATAGGTTAATCTGTTTAATTGGCATGACAGGAAAAATAAGCCATTAGATTCAAGAGTCAAGTTAGAGGAAAAGTTTCTTTCTAAATAACTCTGTCCTATTCTAGTGAGAAGTAAAAAGGCCCTGGCTATGTTTTATCAGACCAAATTCAAGCGAAATATGAGAGAAGGGAGTGGTGGTAAAACACTATCCTACTAATTTATGCTATCTATTATTGATAAATAGTATTTTTGTAGTTTGTTAATCAACTATTAGAAAATGTATTTAAATGTTTTATCTCTTTCAGCAGGCTGTGACTTAAAACCTTGCATATATATATATATATATATATATATATATATATATATATATATATATATATATATATATATATATCACATTAATTCTATTTTATATCACATTAATTCTATCACATTAATTCTATTTTAGGTTACAAACACTAAAGGATTTTAGAAGGAAAGACCTCCTAGACTAAAACTTAAGCACAATAATAAAGGTAAGCAGAATAATTCTGTTAATCAGTCTCAAACCCCTTTTTCATTTAACACCATTGAGTAGATGTAAACCTGTGCATCATTGTTTCCTGCCTACAATGGCAAAGACTTTATTTTCTCGACTCTACTTAGATTTTTGTGCGTGATGATAGAGGCTATGCAACTCTTCTATGCAATCCTATGACAGAGGCTAGGCAACTCTTTCTGCTATGTCCTAATGAGGGTACAGCTCTAAAACTCAGTTTAATGGTTCTAGGGTCTGTAATTTCTGATCAAATTGACCATGCCCTTTCTCTTTACCCCTCTTCCAATATTGTTGTTAGTGGTGATTTTAATGCTCATCACACTGAATGACTTGGCTCTAAAACCACTGACCCTGCTGACACTAAATCCTATAAGAAAATAGACATTAATATAATATAATAGGTTGTTAACTTTGTGACTGGTTTTCCTGACAACCCTAATCATTTACCTTCACTCCTTGATTTATGTCTTGTTTCTGGCCCAAGCTTGTGTTTAGTTTCTCCATTATCTTCCTTAGGTGGTACTTACCATGCAATGATCTTTATAAATCTTTTATCTCATACCTCTTCTTCTGACTCATCCTATATCGCACTAGATACTATTACCATAAAGCTGACGGGTATTCGCTTTATGATTTTCTTGATGGTGGTCCTTGGACTGATATCTTTTCTCTCACAGCTGATAAATGCGTCTCCTACATTCAGACAGAAATAGTAGTTTTAATTCATTCTCATTGGTTCCAAGTCAAGTCTTATTCTACATGGTTTTCACTTTCTTATGCAGCTGCTGTATCTAATCAAAATTAATTTTTTCATCTTTTGCAAAAGAACAAGTCTTTTGAGAACAAATGGCTATTGCAAATCAATTTAATGTAGATTCTGTTTGCTGCTAAGCTCCATTATTCTTAGTTCACTAAATCTCATATTTAATCTCAGAAGTTAAGCTCTTGGAAAATCTTCAACATCAACATTGACAAGGGAAGGTCTGACATTCTAGCTTTCATTCATGGGACTAATGTTATTACCGCTCCCTAGGATAAGGCAAAACTATTTGCAAATAGTTTTTTTTTAAATTCAACTCTTGAATCTTATGGCCATTCTCTTACTTCAATTCCAATTAAACAGGTTAACCCATTGTTAGACATTCAAATCATATCAGCTTTTGTTGCTTAAGTCATATGCGTCTTCTTCGACTTGTGGTCCAAACAACATTCTTGTCATAGCTTTACAAAATTGTCCTCCAGAACTCTCTTTAATTCTCCCTAAAATATTTAATAAGTGCTTGACTGAGTCTTGCTTTTCTGTCTGCTGGAAAATGGCATCTGTTGTTTCCAATTTCAAAAACACAGGAGAATATTCTGACCAATTGTCTACTTTCTGTTATTAGCAAACTAATTTCTCACATCTCCTCTCGAGTCAAATAACTTACTGTCAGACAAAAAACACATTTTTTGATCCTCTTGCTCTACGACTGACTTTCTATGATTCACTGTGATTTCTATGAGTGACTATGATTGGCTGTGACTGAAAGATTTTATCGTGCAATAGATAAAGGCGGCAAGGCTAGGGCTATTGCTCTTGACATATCTAAAGTTTTCGAAAAAGGTTTCGAAAACTTTAGATATGTCTCGCATATTGGTTTTCTCCATAGGCTTGCTTCATATGGTTTATCTGCAAAAGTTTTTGAGATTATCAAACCATTTTTTTCTAATTGCTTTATTAAAGTCATCCTTTAAGGCCAACATTCTTGTTCATTTCCAGTAACTTTTAGGATACCTCAAGGTTCTGTCTTTGGTCCTGTTTTGATTTTTATTTACATTAATAATCTAAACTCATGATTAAACATCTAAATTGACTCTATTCATTGCATTATTTTACTTTATTCATTATTTTACTTTATCTGTTCCTGCATGCTATAAAAACCTTTATTTGTCTAGTCTTTTTACCCATACTTCATCCCTTAAGAATTCTCATATTATTATTCATATTTTATCTTAATCTATATATAATCTTCATATTTTCCTGACTCATACAACCTGCAATTTTTTAAGTCTTCTCTTAATTTTCCTTGCTCTTAAACTCTATTCTTTGTTTGCTAGCAACTTCATACATAATAGTGGTTGCTTGCAGCTGTGTTGGGAGTGAATCAGAATAGAAAAAAAAAATTGAAAAAAATATTGATGTCAATGCTGCTTTTGCTTCATAAAACTAGGCAACTATTTTATTTATATTTATTTAACTAGGCTATTTTCACAGCCACAATTCTGTTAAAAACATTACTAAGAAAATGGGAAAATAATTCTTTTTCTATCAATTATTTATTTTTTGTAGTAATTAATATAAATCAAGGGAACATACAAAAAATATATATATATAAAAAATTTATTGCAATTCAAATCATTTAACTCTATATTGAAGTAATTGAAAATGTTTTATCAAAATAGTTTTATCATAAATCCTCCTGATCATACATATATATGATTCAACTGAAGTTTTTTTACTAACTTTTTTTTTTACTGATTTAATGTATATAAAGAGTATGTATGTCTGCATATAATGTATTAAGAATATGTATGTATGCATATTATAAGAGAATTGTATGTATAAAGAGAAAATTATTTAAATTTTGATAAAAAAAATTCTTTGAATGACATATTTTGAATAACAATATCTTTTTTGTAAAATATATTTTCATAACTTTAAGTTCCAAATGTTGAAAAGTGTAGGTAATGTTCTAAAACAGAGCTGCCCCATACCCTTATATGTAAATAAGAAACATAACACACACCCCATTGGGTGAATGAAAAACAATATCAAACAAATCAACTTTAAATTTGAGTCACATATTCCATATTATTTTTAATTTAGTCACAAATTTTCAACATAAAAAATTTAGTTTGTTTTAAAAATAAGCAACTAAAACCCAGAAAGCTTAAATTATCTTTTATACCAAGATAACCTGAATACCTTTACAATAACATAACCGCACCGCACCACTAATACTCATAACTTTTTTACATTTTTACATTTTTGTTTAATTTGAGTCATATATATCTAATATCATTTTTAACTTAATTGAGTCACAATTATAACATAAAAATCAATTTGTTAAAAAAATAAACAACTTACACCAACTAATTCTTTATCTATATTTTCTTTTGTACCAAGATAAACCAAATAACTTTGAACAACACTATTGCTATAACTTGTATCATCAGTACCTTTTATTGCCACACCACTAATTTTCATCACATGTTTCATATCAATTTGTATAAACAGTTCTTTATCATGATAGGAATAGAAATCACCAGACCCATAATACATGCGTGCTTGGGATATACCACCTTTTGAATCTTTACTTGTAGAAATCTGTGAGTCAATAATTATTTGACTTTCCAATCCAATTTCTTCTAAAGGATCTATTAAATAAAATAAAAGTACTTAAACTCCTTTTTTTTTTTTAAATAAAAACTTTGTTTAAATAAAAAATGGTGCAAAATAATAATTGTTTGATGTAATCATTAAAGCTACTTTGAAGCAAAAAAAAAAAAACATTTGCTATTAACGAAAACAAGACTACTGAAATTATTTGATGATCATATGCCAAGCAAAGGTGAAATGAAACAACGCTAAATCAAATTTGAAGATATTTTCACTATTCTTAGGTCACAAAATCACAGATTTCATCTCCAAAATTAGGCTCTCGTGACTTCTAAAGAATCTTTACCAGTATCTATAATAAGAAAAAATTTGTTCTATCTATTCCACCTATCTTGCATGGTTTAGATTTTGTTACCTCACCTAAAGACAAATATAAATTGTTTGTTAAGAACTTTTCATCAATCTCATCTCTTGATTCTATTAATTACATCCTACCTGACATAGCTGACAAACAAGTTGATCTATTGCTTGACATTCATATCACTACAGCCTCTGTATCTAAAGTTATCTCCTGCTTAGACTCTTCTACAGCTTGTGGCCCAAAAAACACACCTGTTATAATCTAGCAGAAGTGTTCTCCGAAGCTATGTCTATACTTTCAAAACTATTTAACAAGTGCTTATCAGTGTCTTTTTTTCCAGCCTACTGGAAAGCGGCATCTGTTATTACATGTATTCAAAAATTCTGGAGAGCGATCTGACTCTTCTAAGTACTGTTTCATTAGTCTTCTTCCTATCATAAGCAAAGTTTTCAAGTCTTAATTAACAAACAATTGGTTTATGATAGGTTTTATTGTGCATTAGATAGAGATGATGTGGAGAGGTTAAGGCTATTGCTCTTGACATTTCTAAAACATTTGATAAAGTTTGGCATGCTTGTCTTTTCCATAAGCTTTCTTCTTATGGCGTATCAAGTAACATCATTAAGAATATTGAATCCCTCCTTACCAATTATAGTATAAAAGTTGTCATTGAAGGATAGCACTCTTTTCATTTCCTGTAACTTCAGGGGTTTCTCAAGGTTCTATTCTTGGCCCTAAAATCTTTATAATTTACATTAATGATTTCCCAGAAATTCTTGCATCTAAGGTGGCATTGTTCACTGATGATACTACCATTTATTCTTGTCTAAACAAGAAGCCAACACTACTTATTAATTGGAAGGGCATTTGATTTTGAAAATGATCTGACTTCTGCTACAGGGTTATTCTATATGAAATCACCTAGTTTTTTAAAAGTGCCTCAGGGTACCACCTCAAATTTGCTTCAAAATTTGAGCACTCACAGCGTTTATGAAAAAAACACAATCCTGAAAATTTCAGCCTGATTGATTAAACCCTTCAAAAGTTTTAATTGAATTAATATTGACCAAAATCAGAAAAATTTGAGTATCTGGAGCTTGCATTAGATTTTTTTGATTTTTAACTTTTTAAATAAAATAGATGATCACCTGAAATTTTTTAGGTTAATAGTTTTTCACCCAAATTATCTATTTTTGTAGGTATTTTTGACTGATTTTAAACAATTTTTCGAGTTCTTGTACCTTGAGTTGCAAAATAACGCAATATTAGAAAAATGTTGGAAACTTTAATGTGCTACAGTTCAATACCAACAGATAAGCTGTACCCATTTTTTGTTACTTTTATGTACTTAGAGTAACCACTTGTGGAAAAAATTAAAATTATGTGTTAAAAGTTATTTTAGCACTTGCAGCAGCCTGTTAAAATATCACTTTTTTTAAAAAAATACAATAAATTACATTCACTTTGTAGGCATAGAAAGTAGCGCAGACAATTAAAATAAATTATGAAACTTTTTACTGGCAAGGTTCTATATATAGAGAATCACCAAAAAAAAATTAAAGACCTATACTCTATCTTATGACATGATTGCAGCCCGTTTAACTTAAGTGTATATTTTTATTTTTTCCTAAAATACATTAGTTTTCCCTAAAATAAAATTATCAGTGTCTTAACCTAATTTATTTGATATGATTTTTTAATATGTATTTGTTAAATTTTGTGCATATAATATAATTATAATGATACAATTTTCACATGGTTATAATTTGAGTGTAAAATACTTCAATTGCTTCAAGAGTTTGCATTAAAATCTAAATCTGTTCAGTATTTTCTGGATTTTATCATTTTAGTTTTTAATAAAAAAAAGTAAAAGTTTGGTGTATGCAGAAATATTTATATGTAGAAATAGTTTATTGGTTGCATTTTAGACAGTTTTAATCACATTGATTAAACTTGTACTTGAGATTTCATTTTTAAGATTTTATTACTGGAAAAATATAAAAAAGTTTTTTTTAAACTATAATGTTACATGTTTAACCCTAGATTTTAATATTTTTAAATTAGTAAAAGAGGTATGTTGTATGGAAGATTTTTAAATAAAAATTGTGATAAAATGTCATATTGTAGAATGGTAGGAAGAATAAGACTAAAAAATATTGATATTGATGAAAACATATCTCCTCATTTCTAGATATGCAGTACTTCAAAAACACAGTTGTGATCCATTTAAAGTCCGCAAGAAAAAAATTATCAAAGGATTGTGTAAAAAACCAACATTAATAGCAAATCTAGAAAATTCGCAACAACTATGACAAACCTAGTAGTGTCAGCATTGGATATAAACCCAAATATAGTATCCGAAAAAGAGCAAAATTGTATAAATTGTAATGACTTAGACAAACTGTTAGATGCAATAAAGAATAAAATGAAAATATTTAAAAAAAAAGAAAAAGTTCAACTACTAACACTAACTCCTGATTGTTGGTCAATTAAAAAAACTTTCAAAATAAAGTTTCAGAACATCTTTTTAAAAAAGCTTGAAGGTTGAAAAATGAAAAAGGAATACTTGCTAAACCTGAGACTAAAATAGGACAGCTTTTGGAAGATAATGTTAAACAGAAAGTCATTTAAATTTATGAATCCAAAGAGTTTTTAAGACAATGTCCAGGAAAAAAATACTTTGTTTCTGTGTGTGTAAATAATGTAAAATTTCATAAACAAAAACATTTAATATTAGTTTGATTAAAAAAACTTTATCTTGAGTTTAGGAAGTTATACCCTAAACAAAAAGTTAAATTTAGCAAGTTCTGTGAACTAAGACCGAAGTGGTGCATCTCAGTTGACAGTAATGGAAGTCACTCAGTCTGCATATTTTCTTATCATCAAAATGCTAATCAACCAGCGTACATTAATTTACTTGGAAAATGTGTTTGAAAATAATGATTTTGATTGACGATCAAACTGCATACAAACAATGGGTGTTGATTGTCCGAACTACAATTGTCACAGCCAAACAAGCATTATTGAGTTTAATGAATCTTTAAGTGAAACTTTGTAAGACCTCTGTCACCACCACTTTATCAAAGAAGCACAACCCTCCTACTTATTACTTAGACAGAAAGAACATTAGAAGATCATAATATAAATACTGATCATCACTTCTTTGCTACATCCAATGGCAAAAGTCTATGTGATGGAATAAGAGAAAATATAACAAGAGAATCAGCAAAAGCAAGTCTACAAGCAGCAAAAGTTTTCCGCCCCAATGAAGTGTCAAATAATCCGATTTAATCTTATTTTAAAATTCTGTTAGTATTTTCCTTCCCATTACTTGCCTATTTAGTTCTATTTATTCGTGATCTTCTTATAGTATTTATTAAAAGGCTAACATCGTCAGGTTTAAAACCACCTGTATAAAATTAAAAAATATACATTTCTTTTTAGATTGTATACAATAATCTTGTTTATTTAATAATAAAAAACGAACCTAAAACTAGAATTGCAGAAGTATTCATCATCAGCTGAGGATTTGATAGCTTAGTTCTATCTGCAGTTGCTGTTATCATTGGGTGAGAAATGAAGTTTTTTGGCAAAACTAGTGTGATACTATCTGATCCTGTATTTTTTTTTCTCTTTGCTGCCTTTTAGAAATATTAAACTCAGGATTACTTTTAGGAGAGTTTTGATATGCAGAACTCATAGAACGACTAGACTTAGTGACATAAGAATCTTCAGCTGAGTCACTACTATAACCAACCAACTGAACAGTTTCTTTATCATCTATTTTTCTTCTTTTTTCATTTTCAGTTGCAACCTGTTTCTTTTCAATTCTTGCTTTTTTTCTCCTAACACTAGAATGTAGCACATTATCTTTTACACCAACTCCTCCAGTTTTTATTCCATTTTGAAGAGCTGTAAACCAGGCAATATCTTTATCTGTATCCTTAGCTGATCTGGTTTTTCTAATGTCATCTTTCTAACTAGAAGAACTAATATCAAAAATGCCATCTAATGATTGAATAAAGTTTTGTTCAAGTAAACTCTTCTGATTAGAAATTCTATTTTTAGATTTTAAAAGCAACCTCCATTTTTTATGTAGCCTTAAAATATTTTCAATACTGTACTTGTCTTGTTTATAAGGAATGCCAGCCTTACTGTACTTGTTCTTGTTTATAAGGAATGCCAGCCTTATCCCAAAAGAGCTTGACTGATTTAATAGTAAGCAATGCAGCTAACCTAGATTTTGAAATGTTGCTTTGAGTGTGCAATGCCTCCCTAACTTTAGTAAACTCTTTATAAGAGCTATCAATAACTTGCAAGTGATTCCTTGAAATGGAAGATGAAAATAATTTAAAACTTTAAAAAAACTTTCAAAAAAATAAAGTTATAACTTCAGTCTTAATTTAGTATTAAGCCTAACCTGAAAAATTTATAAACATTTCTGGTAGTGGGCAAAGAGCTTGTTTTTAAATAACAATAATGTTAATAACATAAACATAAGATAAATGACAGCTGCGTGCTAGATTTTAATAAATTTGCTATATTACGATCAGACAATAACCTGGCTGATAATAATAAATAGTCAGTAAGTTGGTGTTAAATCTGTTACTATATGCTTATTGAAAAACATTATGTTAACATAAAGGCCTACGATTTGTAAAAAAATAAACATAAGATAAACATACTGAGTTTTAATCTAAATAACACATATCTTTGAACACAATTCAACAAATACTGCTACTCTTTATTGTATGAAAACCACTGAATAAAGTTATTTTGTTGTAAAATAAAAATCTATAAATATCAGAACAAAAGATTTTTGTTTTGTTTTGTTTTACAAAAAAAGTATAAAAATATAAATATCTTATTAGAAAGATACTTAGGCTGTTAAATTAAAAAAAAAAGTATTATTTGCTAAACTCTTAGTACTTTTTGCATAACCATATCAAGTCTGATTTAAATATTTCACATTATAAATTTTTTTTGCTAAACATGACTTTTACAACATAAAAACATAAATTCTTAATTTTAAGTATGTAAATTATTTAATTTATACATATAATGATGGTCACGCACATCACTTGAATTGGACAAGTCATAATTTCATCATCAAAAAACACTATTTTCCTGAGCCGTTATAAACACTATATGTGTCATTTTTAAACGCAATATACTTGAATCTATAACAAAACAGAAAATGTTAAAAAAGACACCAGAATGTGTAGTACATGAAAGTGGTAAAACATTTTCCAAAATTGTGTACTTCACGCACGTCACATTTTTATATAAAAGTTCACGCTAGTCACCACTTAAAAAAATAATATACAATAAAAAATAAAATCATATAATCAAGTTTTTTAAACATAATTACAATTATATGTTGCTGACTTTAGTTTTAGAAAAAAATTATATCTTAATTCATCTTAATATAAAAATAAACAAAAAAAGTTTTAAAAAATAATCACGCACGTCACATTAAAAATAAAAATATAAAATAAATGAGTTACTTACATTTAGTAATAGCTAAAAAATATATTAATCATGGCAAATATATTATGATATTCTATATAACATTAGTTAAATACCATAGAAATCAAAAAAGAAAACAAAAAAGACCTAAACTATCAGTTAACTTTTTACTCATAATGTCCTGATTTACGTGGAATCGACCATATATATATATATATATATATATATATATATATATATATATATACACACACACACACACACACACACACACACACACACACACACACACACACACACACAAACACACACACACAGATATATATATATATATATATATATATATATATATATATATATATATATATATATATATATATATATATATATATATATATATATATATATATATATATATATATATATATATATATATATATAAATATAAATATATATTTACATTTATATTTATATATAAAGTCTTAATAATATTTCTAAATTTTATAAATAAAATCCCGAAAAAATTATTAAACCATTTAAGTTGTTAAACCAATTGGTTTATTCATTACATTATATGATATTATTATTTAAAATAAAAAAATTGTACAACTTTATCTGATTTTCACTTTATTATTGCATCTTTTAATCATACTGCAATACAGTTCAAATGCTAATATATGTTTTTAACAAATTTTTAGGTTATCAAAATAACCTTTATTAAATGTCTAATATTTATTTGATAAAGTTTAAAAATTTTCTAAAAGCCTTTCTAGATTTTTTTTTTCCAAACAAATTTGTTCTTTTCAATATAGAATTGATTTTATGCAAATTTACAGCTCCTGTTTTATGCAAGTTTATAGCTCCTTTGAATAGGACAATGAGTGAACACAAAAACAAAGTGGTAAAAGATGGTCTAGAAAATTGATAGCTACTTTTTTAAACATCTCGGTCAAATTAAAATAACAATTTTTTGAAAAATAAGATAAACCTCAACATCTTGAAGCAAATCTGCCATCAATTGGCAGCTTTTTTTTACATAAGCTTTTTGGTTGACTCTCTGAATGCTAACTCTTCTAGTAGTAAAAAAAGCATCAGACCAAAGATCATCTAAATTTTTTAAATTAATACAATTTTATCAATTTCACTCTTCAAACAAATTTTGATTCATTCGTCAACTTTTTCTGCTGACAATTAAGTCAACTTTGCCAACTTTTTGACAAACGTATTCTTCGATAAAAAGCATTAAATATGTATCAACCAAAATATTGAACTAAATTTTTTTCTTTTTCAGTTTTTCTAAACATGATTAGCAAGGTTATATCTTACAAGAGGTGAGGATCTGTGAAAAAAATCCTTTCTGATCTGCAACTATAAATTTTGATTAAAAAACTTCAACTTCACTATAAATAGTTTTTATAACTTCTTTTTATTAACTTGAATGATAGATTCATACCATCTTTTAAAAATATGTACTTTGAAAGCTAATCTCTGATATATGGAAGGCAACAAAGATCGTTAATAACAATAAGAATGTTTTTTAAAACAAAATTGATGAATAATCGAAGCACTGTTTATCTGTTGAGTTAGCCATTTTTTAGATTTTTGTGCACTTATTAGTAGTCTGGGCACGATAAATAAACGATTATCAACATAAATTCAAAATTTCAACTTTTATTCTTTAAAAACAATAGAATCAAGCGAAAACGGACCAACTGGCCAGACTCTCTGTTTTATGACTATGGTTATACTGATCTGATTAATGCGCTTTTGTATCTAATAATTGATGTCAATATTTTTGAATGTATAATATGTTATTATTTATTATATATTATGTATATAATATTTTGCATGTATTATATATCGGAAGAATAGATTTTTAAAATTGATATAATGTTTAGGAGAGCGATGTTGATTTATACAACTTTACACGGCGCTATTGGGGTGAAAAAAAAACGATAAACAGACTGGAAAGTACTAATTAATTAACTCAAAGAAGCTCAGAGAATTATAGACATTATTGACGAATTGTAGGCCACCTTCCTTCCTAAAAAACATTTTAAAAAATTTTTTAGGAGGGGTGGGGGTACAAAATTGTTGCGTAATATTGGAGAGAGAGGAAGGAAGGGGGGGGGGGAGTTTTAAAAAATGTCAAAAACTGCGTGATACAATTTATGGACAACCCCAAACTCGAGTTATATATGTTATGTTCGAGCCTGGAAGTATAAAACAGATGGAAGTTCATCGAGCCGCAAACATCAAAGCAATTTCAAGTTGTCTCGGGAGTATGCTTGAAACCGACAATTAAAAAAAAAAAACAAGTTTCACTAGACAAAAATACAACAAAATTCACTGAAATGATCTTTATTAAAACATCATAAAATGAATTATTCTCAGGATATGCTGCAAAGTTTTAATCATTAGTAATTGCAATTATTCAGCAAAAGGTTTATTAAAATAGTTAGTTTTCTTGATTAAAGTCATAACACAACATTTGATTAAAAAGACAACTAAAACAATTTTAAAAAAATCAAAAAAATTGTTTTCTGAATAACTTAAGTTTAAAGTTTTATTAGCTGTATATCATAATTCCATTAATTTTTGTAGCACTCCATTTAATATGAAGTTTATAAAAAAGTTGTTATTTGCCTTTCGTTGCGCCATTTTTAATGTTTTTCTTGAATATTATTGGCAAACCTTCAAAATACTATATTTTTAAATTATTATAAACGTACCAATTTGCGTATAAAGATTAAGCGTTTATGTACAGTCTTGATGTCGTTTTCTTATTGTTTACGAAACAAAAGGTTTCAAGCATAGTCCCAAAGAATTTCTGTTTTATACATCCATAGTTTGGGTTTTCCAAATTTAATGTAGAAGAACTTCATTTTTTTTATAAAACAAAACAAACGCGATCAATAAATAAACTCTTTAAAAGCTCAACTTATATTTATTTTATTTTAAAAACAAAACTAATACTAGTACTATAAATATAAGATACATAAATTTAAAAATTATACTGATATTTGTTAAAAACACATTCTAATAATAACATCTTAAAACCGAAAATACTATTTTTCTTTTTGGATTTAGTAGGAAATAGTAAGAATACATTAGGTTTCACAGTACATTAAAAAAAAAATTTAAATGGAAAAAAAAAACGAAGAGCGGTAATCTTCGTAAAATTACAATTTTTATTTTATTAAAAGCTAGTTACTAAAGTTACTTGTCACAAAACAAATATTTTAAAGAAAAAAATTAAGTTTAAATTAAGTTTAAAAGTATAAGATTTTAAAATAAGTAAATTTTTTTTTAATCTTTTTTATAACAAGATTGTTTAATTTAAAGATATTTCATTTAAATTAAACAATCTTGTTATAAAAATTGATTAACAAATTTCTATATCTAATCTTTTAGTAATTTATTATAAAAAAAATTTTACTTAAATTTAAAAACATAAACTGTTATTCACTTTGAGATTTTATTTATAAAGATTTACATCAAACTATTTAGCAAGATCTACCTAAAACACTCATGAAAAAAAATTAAAGGTATTTAACATACAGATAATGTTAAAAAAGCAGATGCCGAGATAACAGGTTGCATATTTGCTTTTTTTTTTAAATAAACGTTTTTATAAAATACATTTACACATTAAAATATTTTAAATAATGCTAAACTCATTTAAATTTCAAATGAATTAAACACACAATTTTCTTTCAATTAGACTGACCAAAAAAACCATAAAACCAAAAGCATCATATATATTCATATATATGAAACAGCTAAAAAATTTCTAAAGGAAATAAGCAGGGTTATAGTAAGAATATAATTTTTTTAATTATTTTTTAAAAATGCTTTTAAACTTATCTTTGCTAGTTAACCATAATACAATTTACGAGCTTTAATTAAAACTGATTTTAAAATTAACTAAAATTGATATACATGACAACATGAAGCAAAAGAAAAAATTTAAGTACTCACTATTTAAACAACCAAATAACTCAATTCGAAGACACGGCCAATCATATATTTTAACAGGAATAATTTTTATATGTAGAGCAATAATAGGATAGGAAAACCATCTGTACACTACTTCATTCTTATCATTTACACCATCAAATTCCTAAAAAAAATATATCTTTCTCTCTGGATATATACATATATATATATATATATATATATATATATATATATATATATATATATATATATATATATATATATATATATATATATATATATATATATATATATATATATATATATATATGGATATAGACTTTTGTATTGAACTTTTTGTTTTGTGTTGATATTTTTTGATATCATATAAAACTTTGATTTCATATACATTTTTGAAATACATTGATACATTTTGGTTCTTTTAACCCCAATATGTACTTTGACAGCATACTTTGCTTTATTTTAATAAGGAACCACTTTCGATGGTTCCTTATTAAAATAAAGCAAAGTTTTTCTGCAATGTTTTATTATACTAATTGCCACTTCTGGAACAAATCGTGGATTTTTTTGTGGGTAGTTATCTTATATAAATTTATGTAAAACTTTTTTAAAGATGAGTTTAATTCAGAAAAAAAAAGAAATTTATTTGGAAAAAAGTTTGGAATTATTTGGAAAAAATCATTTGCAACAAAAAAATTTTTTTAAGCAAGGAAAATTACAAGCTAGCAGAGCATGGATTCAAGTATGAAATTATTGGATATGTTTAAAATGTATAATGAAACTTTGGACGCTGCTGTTTGGATACAATGAACAAAAGTAATTGCTAAAATGCAGAATGTAAAACTAGAATTACTTTTTCCAATCCTTCTTAGAAAAACTGCTTATATTTGATATAAGATGCTTTAAACGCTGAAGTTAAACAAGACAATGAAGAACTCCAATGTATTTTGTAAGCATTTTTATAGCATATTTAGTGGTTGCTTATACTGCATACAAACTTTTTGTAAAACAAAAATTAAAAGTTGGAAAAAAAGTTGATGTGTTTTTGGCCAACTTAAAATGATTGGCTTACCTAGCTAAATTGTCAGAAAAGTCTGTTCCATTGGCGTTTGTCATAGGATTGCCAAAAGATTTATCAGCAAGATTTTAAGTCGTTGTGGATCCAATTGATGTTATGTTACCCAAAGTAAGACCATCTTTGAATCATGAATGCGTAGAAGGTGTTTTAGGTGCTGTGTTTTGAAATCAGCTACAAAAGTTCCGTTGGTGTGTTACAACTGCAAAGGATTGAATAATATTGCAAAAAACTGTTCACTTGCAAAGAACCTGGCTCCAAAGTATATCTTTTAATGTTTCAAATATGGGGATGAAAGACATGTGGCTGTAAAATTGTTAAAGACACTAGGAAAACAAGTGCAGGAGCAAGGAATATGCGCTATCTCGCTCCTGAACAAGGGTTGAATCAATCCATTGTCTATTATTCATCTGAAAGTTAATGGTGTGGTAGCAATAGCTAAGATAGACACAAAATGTTTACAGACAATAAATCAAAATTTGCTGTCAAGAAATTAAAATTAGCCCCAGAGTCTTCCAAAGGTGGTAATTTTTGACAGAAAAAATCATCAATGTAATCAGCAGTTGTTACTATTAAGATTGAAGGTATCCAAGTCCGAGATAAAGTTACTTTCATGGATTTTTGACCGTTAGAAATTGATATGATGCTTGGAATGAGTTCTATTAAGTTGCTATGAGGAGTTTTTATTTTCCCATGGAATGGCAAAGTTTGGGTCCATCTCAAAAATGTTCTGGACTATTAGAAATTAAAAATTTATTGAAATTTTTATTAATAACATAAATCAGACTCATGTACAAAGATCAATACAATGTCATTATAAAAATTAGTTACCTAGAGATAATTTTAAAATAGAAAACTACAAAAAAAGTTGATTCTAAATTTATTTTTTCTATTTTTACATAAAAATTCTTAAAGCTATTTTTTATATCAATTTTTTAAAGCTATTTTTTATATCAATAGACTATAGAATAGAAACATAAGATTTTTAAATAAAAAGAGTTAAGTTATATTCTTTACATCAAAATTTGGAAATTTGTTATTCTTTATTTTTAACTAAGTTACAAATTTTGATTTTGATATTTCACTATTGACCTTGATTCAGGTATGCCTTGAGCAATATGCAATTGTACTATCATTTAATTTTTTGCTGTATTCTGGATGACCCAAATTTAGTTTGTAAGCACCTATTTCCCTGATGAACTGATTTGGATGCTTGTTCACTCTAAAACCCAAGAACTCTTGAAAATACTTTTGTAGAGTTGGAGGAAGTCTTTGCTGAGTAATATCATGCTTTTCTGTCTGGTTGTCAATAAACTCAGGTATTTGCTTAATGACATTATAAACTTTAGTTGCAATTAAAATTTCAAGGGCTTTGTGTGCTCTCTCAAATAAGAGAATGGAATTTCTATAAGAGGAAACTAAGACATTCTCAAAGTATGCCTATTGGATTGCAATAAAGTCATGTTTTAAATACAGCAAGAATTTTTTTTCAAAAGAAGTTTTTCTCCATTTCCAATTTTGGCATTTACAAGCAATTCTTCCAAAACCCTAATATTGCTTAGGATATACCACCATTGGTTCACATTAAATTCTCCTCCTTGTAGGTGCTAAGTTTGTTTGACCAGTCAGTAGCTTTCAAAGAACAAAAATTGTTTTCACTAAGGATGGTTATCAAATGATCAAATAGCCTTTTGGTAATTCCTGGAACCATGTGCACTTCCATCATTGGCAAAATGTTTAGAATTTTTGTTTTATCTGAAAGATCAAACAAAAGGAGATTCATGCAACATTTGTAGCTTGCTGCCCAGAGCATTGATTTTTTTGAGTGAACACTGAGATCTTTCTGATAATTTTTGGCATTGGATCTAATCATCCCAAGTGTCCTTAATTGCCGTGTTATTTCTTAGTTTCTAAAATCTTTCTTTAAAATTTCACACCAAGGGCAGGTTTTTGTGAATACAGTAAGCCTAATCCAAGAAAAGCATTTGCAAGTTCTATGTTCGCAGCTGCAGTAAAAGCAACACTTTTAAGACATAAGATTCCTTCACAGACTCAACAATTGGCAAGATCATAAGTTTCTTCACTACACCACAAAAGGTTCGAGAAGATGCACTTTTTGAATAGGAAAACTTAGGCATTGTTTGTTTTGCTTTGGCTATCCAATATATTCACACAAACCTTGAGAAACCCACCACTTCCATCAATGCTTACTTTAATCATATACTGTTCAACCAATTCAAAAATTTCATTACAAAAAATAATTGCGTGCTGAGCTTTTGCAATTTGTTCATCAATATTGGAAATTCAAATTCCATTGTTGTAAAATTGTTGAAAGATTAAAATGCTTTTTCTTGTTGACTTAATTTTGCAAGTTCTGAAAAAAAGTAGCTGCTTTGTGAGTTTGTTTCAAAGAGAGACCTAAAATAGATTGCAACCTTGAGCTTTTGATTTTTCTTTTAAAAAATTTACACTTTTTGTAACTGTTAAACCCCTCCCTCTTGTTGCTAAAATAGCAATTGTGCCTCCATTTCCAGATTCTGCAAACTTCATTTTTATCACATCAGAAGCATTAACTTCTGCTACACGAAGAATTTGATCAATAACTGATTGAAAATTTTCTCTTTCATCTTGAACAATTCAAGGATTTGGATGTGCTATTTCCCAACCAACTGGAAACAATGCTAACACACATTAACTGCCCCATCAGGTAGTAAAAATTATTTGGCTGCTACTGGAAGTCTTCCTACTTGGAAAAGAACAGCCTTAGCTGATTCTTGGCTCATTCAATAATAAGACAACAGCACAGATTGATCTTGTTTAAAAATTAATTTTGTCAGAGTTGTTAGAATAACTTTGGAAAAACCAAAAAAAAGCCAGGTAGCTCATTATTTACTTTCTCCCTTTTTTCAATCTTAAGAAGAATTAGTCTTGATCTAGCACAAACAACAGAAGGTAAATGCTCTTCATTTAGATAATAGTTCTCAATGAAATATTAATGGATTCTTGAGAGTAGCAAGGCTCTTCTAACTGGCACAGTTAAAAGATATCTGAACCTTTTTGAAAGCACACCAGAAATACTTTAGCACAATTTTCAGTTTGAAAAACAGATATTTATGTGCTACTACAAGTGTGGATTTACAAGTTTCTACAAGTAATAAATTTTTAATAGTATTGCTTATCTATTTGATTGGAAGCCGAGAAAACTTTTTACTTATAGGGATCCCCAATTGCCAAGACAAGTTGTGTTCATATCATAGATAAACATAAGAAAATAAGTTAAAAGTTAATTAAACTTTCCAAAACAAATTATTGAATGAGATTATTGAATTGGTATTTTTATTTATGACGATATAGAAACAACGACGGTTTTAACAATCGAAATATTAACCACAAAAAATATAAATATATACTTTTTTAGTGCTGTTATTGCCAACCAACTGGCGTAATTAAACATTTTAATAACTTTTTAAACAAAGTAACCACGAAAAGAAGTTAAACTATTTAACTGGTGATTTTAATTTGGATTGTTTACTGTATCACGTCAAATACAACATTAAAGAGTTTTACAATGATTTATTTAACAAAAAAAGATTATATAAAAATGTGTTCTGCATAAAAATAAAGACACTTGTCACCTTATAAAATTATAAAAATAACTTATAAAATCTTATAAAAATATAAAATATTCTGTATCTTATTTATTTTTAAACATTGTAAAATAAACTTTGCTATTCTCTGGTCTCTTTAACGCTATAACTTATTTTCTCATAACGAAATGATGTATTTATCAAAATAATAAAATAATGCAGTTATTAGTAATTTTAATAACAGAAGGCACGGTGTGACACTTTAGAAGTTGATGCCCCCTCACCGTGCCTTATGAAGACGAGGGGGATGGTCAAAGCACCAAAAAAACCTAATATTCCAAAAAAGTACTTATAAAAACTATTTTGTAAAAAAAAAGTCCTCTTGAAAAAATATGGGGGCTCCCTCGGTTCCCCAGCCACTCTTTCGCCAAGGCGTATGAATAAACAACAATATTAATTGAGAAATTTGACAAATTGTGAAATTTTTATTTTAAAATATTT